GCCATCACTAGCCGGCCTCCACCCGGTTACTCAACCCTGCACCTTAGAGGTGGCTGCCCTATATACATAGACATGGAATCACATGGAATCACTGGCCACTTTAATAATGGAACACTAGTCACTTTAATAAAGTTTACAAACTGCTTTACTCATTTCATATGTATATACTCGATTCTACTGTATTTTATTCAATGCCATTCCGACATTGCTCGTCCTAATATTTATATATTTCTTAATTCCATTATTTTACTTTTAGATTTGTGTATTGTTGTGAATTGTTAGATATTACTGCACTGTTGGAGCTAGGAACACAAGCATTTCGCTACACCCGCAATAACATCTGCTAAATATGTGTATGTGACCAATACAATTTGATTTGATTTGGAATTATATGCAGACATTGTGATGCAATTCAAGATCAATAAATGGATTCAAGATGAATAAATGTTGTTGACACATTAAACCAATACAAATGAAATGCAGTACTTTAACTGATGCATTACAAATGATTTCCATTTGATTTGATTGATTCCATTGCCATTCATGGTGCAGTAGACACGTTTTACCTTTAATGACCAGTAGATGGCAGTATTGACCTGATATGAGAAGCTGTCACCCTTAGCAGGTCAGTGTGGTATTGACCTGATATGAGAAGCTGTCACCCTTAGCAGGTCAGTGCAGTATTGACCTGATATGAGAAGCTGTCACCCTTAGCAGGTCAGTGCAGTATTGACCTGATATGAGAAGCTGTCACCCTCAGCAGGTCAGTGCAGTATTGACCTGATATGAGAAGCTGTCACCCTCAGCAGGTCAGTGTGGTATTGACCTGATATGAGAAGCTGTCACCCTCAGCAGGTCAGTGCAGTATTGACCTGATATGAGAAGCTGTCACCCTCAGCAGGTCAGTGTGGTATTGACCTGATATGAGAAGCTGTTACCCTCAGCAGGTCAGTGCAGTATTGACCTGATATGAGAAGCTGTCACCCTCAGCAGGTCAGTGCAGTATTGACCTGATATGAGAAGCTGTCACCCTCAGCAGGTCAGTGCAGTATTGACCTGATATGAGAAGCTGTCACCCTTAGCTGGTCAGTGTGGTATTGACCTGATATGAGAAGCTGTCACCCTCAGCAGGTCAGTGTGGTATTGACCTGATATGAGAAGCTGTTACCCTCAGCAGGTCAGTGCAGTATTGACCTGATATGAGAAGCTGTCACCCTCAGCAGGTCAGTGTAATTCACCATTGTAACCAGGAACACGTTTTAATGAATAAAACAGAAAGAAATCTAGAGACCAATGAGAATAAGCGTCCAAGGTTAGTCCAGCAGCTGACCACGCTGTTAATATAGTAAGAAAATATGTATATATATATATATAGAAAATACCACAACAGAGAAAATTGACACTTGGCACAGTGTTATAGGACACCTTCAGTGTTATAGGACACCTTCAGTTAAACAATCAGATAAGCAGTAAAGAACGTCTCTTTTTTTGCCACATTAATTCACTTCGATTTCACGTAAATAGCGTCCGAGAATAGCCGACGTTGCGGTGGGTTACAAACTGGGTCAGGGAGAGGTTGAAAATGGCAGTGAAGACACTTGCCAGTTGGTCCGCTCATGCTCTAAGTACACGTCCTGGTAATCCGTCTGGCCCCGTGGCTTTGTGGATGTTGACCTGTTTAAAGGTCTTACTCACATCGTCTACGAGAGCGTGATCACACAGTCATCTGGAACAGCTGGTGCTCTCATGCATGCTTCAGTGTTGTGTTTTATTATTATAATTTATTTTCTGTGAGTCAAATTTTTTTTTTCCTTTTCTTTTAGGGGGTAGTTCAGCTTTAATACTGTAGATAGATTGTAGCTTGCATCAATGTAACTGTCTGCATCATTTCCAATCCCCTATATATTATTATGTAAATATATATTATTTAAAATATATTTTCCTTTATTTTCCCCTCCCCTAATTGGAGTAAACTAATGGACTTAGGCTTCTACTTCCAGCTTATACACACTATATACATTTTACAGACACAATGTATTTTATAATAGCTCTCTTTTGTTTGTTTTTAATCCCATCCTTCAGCTACCATCAACCCCTCCCATCTATCTCTGAAGACCATCCAGTTTGATATATCTTGCATTATATTTTTTACTGTGCTGTTTCACAACAGTTTTGAACCTATATACATTTTATGGACACAGTATGTTTCACATTAGTTATCTTGTTGTTTTTAGTCCCACCCTTCAGCTCCACTCAACCCCTCCCATCTACAGTGGCTTGCGAAAGTATTCACCACCCTTGGCATTTTTCTATTTTGTTGCCTTACAACCTGGAATTAAAATGGATTTTGGGGGGGTTATCTTTGGTCTCTTTGTTGCCTCTGATTAATGCCCTCCTTCCCTGGTCCGTGAGTTTTGGTGGGCGGCCCTCTCTTGGCAGGTTTGTTGTGGTGCCATATTCTTTAAATTTTTTGATAATGGATTTAATGGTGCTCCGTGGGATGTCCAAAGTTTCTGATTTTTTTTATAACCCAACCCTGATCTGTACTTCTCCACAACTTTGTCCCTGACCTGTTTGGAGAGCTCCTTGGTCTTCATGGTGCCGCTTGCTTGGTGGTGCCCCTTGCTTAGTGGTGTTGCAGACTCTGGGGACTTTCAGAACAGGTGTATATATACTGAGATCATGTGACAGATCATGTGGCACTTAGACTGCACACAGGTGGACTTTATTTAACTAATTATGTGACTTCTGAAGGTAATTGGATGCACCAGATCTTATTTAGGGGCTTCATAGCAAAGGGGGTGAATACATATGCACGCACCACTTTTCCATTATTTATATTTTTGCATTTTTTGAAACAAGTTATTTTTTTAATTTAACTTCATCAATTCAGACTATTTTGTGTATGTCCATTACATGAAATCCACATAAAATCAATTTAAATTACAGTTTGTAATGCAACAAAATAGGAAAAACGCCAAGGGGGATGAATATGTTTTGCAAGGCACTGTATCTCTTAACACCATCAATCTTTCTTTTCTATTTGACATATTCAACTGATGTTTCACAAAAGTTCTGAACCTTTCTATTCTCATAGTTTCTTACAGATTGTAAGTTAAAGATAAACATTTTGCTAAAAGTATTATTATATTATTGATCGATTGACTATGACTTTTCAAATCACCCAGCAGTGCTATCTGCAGGGTTAGCTTCAGGTAAATGTTGGGATTCTTCTTCCATTCCTGGACCTGTGACCAAAAACAACTTGCTTAACGATGGGGAGAAGGTGTGCTTAACGATGGGGAGAAGGTGTGCTTAACGATGGGGAGAAGGTGTGCTTAACGATGGGGAGAAGGTGTGCTTAACGATGGGGAGAAGGTGTGCTTAACGATGGGTAGCAGGTGTGCTTAACGATGGGGAGTAGGTGTGCTTAACGATGGGGACCAGGTGTGCTTAACGATGGGGAGCAGGTGTGCTTAACGATGGGGAGCAGGTGTGCTTAACGATGGGGAGCAGGTGTGCTTAACGATGGGGAGCAGGTGTGCTTAACGATGGGGAGCAGGTGTGCTTAACGATGGGGAGCAGGTGTGCTTAACGATGGGGAGAAGGTGTGCTTAACGATGGGTAGCAGGTGTGCTTAACGATGGGGAGTAGGTGTGCTTAACGATGGGGACCAGGTGTGCTTAACGATGGGGAGCAGGTGTGCTTAACGATGGGGAGAAGGTGTGCTTAACGATGGGTAGCAGGTGTGCTTAACGATGGGGAGTAGGTGTGCTTAACGATGGGGACCAGGTGTGCTTAACGATGGGGAGCAGGTGTGCTTAACGATGGGGAGAAGGTGTGCTTAACGATGGGGAGAAGGTGTGCTTAACGATGGGGAGAAGGTGTGCTTAACGATGGGGAGCAGGTGTGCTTAACGATGGGGAGAAGGTGTGCTTAACGATGGGGAGCAGGTGTGCTTAACGATGGGGAGCAGGTGTGCTTAACGATGGGGAGCAGGTGGGCTTAACGATGGGGAGAAGGTGTGCTTAACGATGGGGAGAAGGTGTGCTTAACGATGGGGAGAAGGTGTGCTTAACGATGGGGAGCAGGTGTGCTTAACGATGGGGAGCAGGTGTGCTTAACGATGGGGAGCAGGTGTGCTTAATGTGGGTTGCCAGAACCGGTTGTTAGTAGACCGGTAATGTTGAGTGCCGGAGGGAGGGAGCAGGAGTGACACTGATGTTATGGAAGATGGCTAGTTTTCAATAATCTGTTGTTGGATTTCCCACCGTCTTTATTTTCAACTACCATTTGCACAAAGACAGCCTCCTGTTGGTCTGTAAATAGACGCGTTCTACCATCACGTGGTGGTCGTCTTTCAGTTCTACAATAACAAAATAGCACATAGTACAGTGAACACTACAGTAACACAGTATACAAGATAAACATGTTCCAAAGTAGTATCGCTCCCAATTTCATACGTACAGTAATACATGAAACATTGACTTTGTTTCCCCTTACAGTATGTATTGGAATCTACAGTCTTTACTGAGCTTTACGTTGTACTGTCAAGTAGTAAAAGTAGTAGACAGGTCCAACGTCTGCAGTACATGCCTATTGTCATTTTGGAACATCCGATTGATGGATGCTACGGTGAAGCGGCTCAGAATGGGCTGCACTCCCAGCCTCTGTCAAGGTCAAACCGTGGTTGACCACATGGGCTGCACTCTCTGCCCAGCCTCTGTCAAGGTCAAACCGTGGTTGACCACATGGGCTGCACTCTCTGCCCCTGTCAAGGTCAAACCGTGGTTGACCACATGGTCTGCACTCTCTGCCCAGCCTCTGTCAAGGTCAAACCGTGGTTGACCACATGGTCCACCACAGTCTCCTTGTTTTATTTTACAACCATAACACAGAGCAATCAACATATACATACTGTACATATAAAAAACTAAACAAAGACGGAGACAGATACACAATCCCCCTTAATGGCTAATCTAATCTCCCTCTTGACAGGTAGCTCAGGAACACCCGCATCATCAGCTGGCTGCTCCACCTGCAAGAGGCTCCAGCAGCACCGGTGGCCAGGGTACCTGAGGACAGAGTTACCCAGGCTACAGAGCACCCTGGCTGGGGAGGAGGGGAGGACAGCCTGCCTGACCAACGGAGCATGTCTTGGGATGAACAGGCAGAACGGTTACAGTGACGTCATAAAGATGAGCCTGAGACTGCCTGTCCAACCAGCTGGCTCATGTGTCTCAGTCAGCCAGCAGCTCTCTCCTCTGGAGACATACAGCTCAGAAGCATACAAACCATCCCTAAGTTACCAAAACAACCACTTAATTTCCTCCTTTCCCACTCCTCTGCTCCTCTACTCCTCTCCTCCTCTCCTCCTCTCACACCCCTCCTTTCCTCTCCTTATCTCACAGGAAGAGAAGTGTTGTGTCACTAAGTGTTCATCATCCAGCCCTCAGGCCAGTTCCCCCAGCCCTCAGGCCAGTTCCCCCAGCCCTCAGGCCAGTTCCTCCAGCCCTCAGGCCAGTTCCCCCAGCCCTCAGGCCAGTTCCCCCAGCCCTCAGGCCAGTTCCCCCGGCCCTCAGGCCAGTTCCCCCAGCCCTCAGGCCAGTTCCCCCAGCCCTCAGGCCAGTTCCCCCAGCCCTCAGGCCAGTTCCCCCAGCCCTCAGGCCAGTTCCCCCAGCCCTCAGGCCAGTTCCCCCAGCCCTCAGGCCAGTTCCCCCATCCCTCAGGCCAGTTCCCCCAGCCCTCAGGCCAGTTCCCCCAGCCCTCAGGCCAGTTCCCCCAGCCTTCAGGCCAGTTCCCCCAGCCCTCAGGCCAGTTCCCCCAGCCCTCAGGCCAGTTCCCCCAGCCATCAGGCCAGTTCCCCCAGCCCTCAGGCCAGTTCCCCCAGACCCAGACCCAGGTCCCCTAACCCCAGACCCAGGTCCCCTAACCCCAGACCCAGACCCAGGTCCCCTAACCCCAGACCCAGGTCCCCTAACCCCAGACCCAGGTCCCCTAACCCCAGACCCAGGTCCCCTAACCCCAGACCCAGGTCCCCTAACCCCAGACCCAGGGCCCCTAACCCCAGACCCAGGTCCCCTAACCCCAGACCCAGGTCCCCTAACCCCAGACCCAGGTCCCCTAACCCCAGACCCAGGTCCCCTAACCCCAGACCCAGGCCCAGGTCCCCTAACCCCAGACCCAGGTCCCCTAACCCCAGACCCAGGTCCCCTAACCCCAGACCCAGGTCCCCTAACCCCAGACCCAGGTCCCCTAACCCCAGACCCAGGTCCCCTAACCCCAGACCCAGGTCCCCTAACCCCAGACCCAGGTCCCCTAACCCCAGGTCCCCTAACCCCAGGTCCCCTAACCCCAGACCCAGGTCCCCTAACCCCAGGTCCCCTAACCCCAGACCCAGGTCCCCTAACCCCAGACCCAGGTCCCCTAACCCCAGACCCAGGTCCTCTAACCCCAGACCCAGGTCCCCTAACCCCAGACCCAGACCCAGGTCCTCTAACCCTAACTCCAGGACCTGTCCCTCTGGCTCCACTGGCTCCAGGTCCCCCCAGTCCCCCCAGCCTACTTGCCCCTCTAGGTCCCCTCCTTCAGGGGACACTCCTTTCAGCTCCTCCTTTAGCTTCATCCAGCAGTCACTGAGCCTTGATTCACTGAGCTCCAGTCACAGGACAGATACAGACACTCCCCTGGCCTAAACCCAAAACCACTGGATCAGTACTCACCTAGGTTGTTAAGAACTGGATCCGTCCCATCCCACTCAGAACCACTGGAGAGGCCTGGGTCTGTCCCACCCTGCCAATCAAGATCTGGGTCAGCCTCCAGCTCCAACCAATCACGATTAGGATTCTTGGGGCTTTCGGTTTCAAAACAGTCAACTACTGAGTACTGTCTAGTCAGAGCCACGCTCTGTCCCGCTCAGCCAATCAGACAGAGGACGGGAGAGGGCGGGATCAGGGCTGGGGTCAAAGTTACCTTCCTCTGTGACCTCTGACCTGGCGGAGGTGGAGCCTGACTGTGACTCCTCCTCTCTGGACACAAAAGCCGCCTCCTCCCTGTCAGTAGGGGAGGACTCTGACGCTGCCTCCTCCTCCTCCCTCACCTCGGGGTACGAGAGTTCCACGCCCACTACTGCCACTCCCGGCCCCGCCCATGACCGTTCCCAGGACCAGGGCTGGGACCAGGGGGTGAAGAAGTACGAGGGCGTCCTGCAAGACTGCCTGCATAACAACCGTACTAATACTAAGGTATGGCTTGCACCATAGAACCGTACTAATACTAAGGTATGGCTTGCACCATAGAACCGTACTAATACTAAGGTATGGCTTGCACCATAGAACCGTACTAATACTAAGGTATGGCTTGCACCATAGAACCGTACTAATACTAAGGTGTGGCTTGCACCATAGAACCGTACTAATACTAAGGTATGTCTTGCACCATAGAACCGTACTAATACTAAGGTATGTCTTGCACCATAGAACCGTACTAATACTAAGGTATGTCTTGCACCATAGAACCGTACTAATACTAAGGTGTGGCTTGCACCATAGAACCGTACTAATACTAAGGTGTGGCTTGCACCATAGAACCGTACTAATACTAAGGTATGTCTTGCACCATAGAACCGTACTAATACTAAGGTATGGCTTGCACCATAGAACCGTACTAATACTAAGGTATGGCTTGCACCATAGAACCGTACTAATACTAAGGTGTGGCTTGCACCATAGAACCGTACTAATACTAAGGTATGGCTTGCACCATAGAACCGTACTAATACTAAGGTATGGCTTGCACCATAGAACCGTACTAATACTAAGGTATGGCTTGCACCATAGAACCGTACTAATACTAAGGTATGGCTTGCACCATAGACTTGTTTTATACATATGGGGTCATTTAGGGTGTTTTCACATATAGTCCTCTTTAAAAGAACCTCACTCAGTCCTCTAAAGTGAACTCTGGGGTAAAAAAAAAAGCTAAAGAACTCAGTCCCCTTTGTATTCACACTGCCCTTGCCTTTGGATGAGGACTCAGTTCCCTTTGTATTCACACTGCCCTTGCCTTTGGATGAGGACTCAGTCCCCTTTGTATTCACACTGCCCTTGCCTTTGGATGAGGACTCAGTTCACTTCACCTATTTTGCGGTCCGAATACCCTTTGCATTCACATTGCTATGTTTAGAAAGGAACCAAGATCTTTTTCCAACATTCACTAAATGCACTCTGGGTTTTTACAAAGTGCAGGACAAGCCATTCCATCAGAATGTGTTATTAACGGCTAGACATACCTACTTACATTTAGGAAGCTAATAGATTGCATTTAGTTAACAGATGAGACATAATATTTGTAATTAAAAGACACCAATAATATTTACATGTTAATATTAACAGAAGAAATAGCAGAAGAATAACTGCAGATTATATAATGCTGTAATTGAAAATCGTACACCCATAGTAGGCTACTGCCCCTTTAAGACCTAGAATTGACTTTGTACCCTGTGTTGTGATTCTAACCAAATATTTTGTCGAAAAATGAGTTCACAGAAATTGTCTGAAAGGGACCAAGTATGAAAACACCCTTAGAAGAGCTCCATTATGTTTTAATTGTTAAATTCTGCACTCAGTAATGTCCAGTATCATGATGACCTGATATTATATATATATATATATATATATATATATATATATATATATATATATATAGATACATATATACACATATTTCTGTCTGTGGCAGATGTCCACTGCTTAAACTACTGTGTTTTGTCATGTTGTCTCTCTGTTCCTGTCTCAGATTCGGTCCATGATGCTGAAGCTACAGAGACTACAGCAGAAGGCCATCCTGGAGGATGAGGATGAGGATGAAGATTGGAATAAACACTAAGACATGTTATGTAGTCTTTAGTGACTGTGAAGAATCTACAACTCTTCGGTGTCATCAGACTTCCACAGAATGTCTTGCTCTGCAGGAATTTCTTTCTCCAAATGAGGAGAAAGTTGTTTTAGTTGTTCTGTTTGTTGCTTCCAGTGACACTGTGGAGTAGAATAAATTAGTTGTTTTTTGTGGTCAACGCCTTAGAAATAAAGAAACTGTCTACTCGGTCTCCCAAACAAACTAACCATGTCTTTGCCTGCTCATCCTTGAGGATCAGAACTTTCAAACCCTCAAATGGTTCAGGACCGGGTTGTGTGTGTGTGTGTGTGTGTGTGTGTGTGTGTGTGTGTGTGTGTGTGTGTGTGTCTGTGTGTGTGTGTGTGTGTGTGTGTGTGTGTGTGTGTGTGTGTGTGTGTGTGTGTGTGTGTGTGTGTGTGTGTGTGTGTGTGTGTGTGTGTGTGTGTCTGTGTGTGTGTGTGTGTGTGTGTGTGTGTGTGTGTGTGTGTGTGTGTGTGTGTGTGTGTGTGTGTGTGTGTGTGTGTGTGTGCGTGTGGAGCTGATGATGGGCAGTATTTATGTTACATGTCTTTGAAATACGCATTCAAATTACTTTGGAGTATTTTGTCATTTGTATTTCACAGTCCAGTGTATTTAGTAACAAAATAATTTAGAGAGCTGTATTTTGTATTTTGAAAATACCAAATATTTTTCAACAGTCCTGAAAGAAAATGATTTAGGGCCTATTTCTTCTACAATAAGTTGAAATTGAAAAATAGTTTGGTGTTCGCACATGTATTTGTTTGATTTACTACACAGGATATTTGACTGAAAAAGTAGATTTATTTTGTTTTTTTTACCTACTTGAAATGCCTTTTCTGTTGACCACAGTATTTTGTATTTTCTTTTTTGTCATTTTAGCAGACGCTCTTATCCAGAGCGACTTACAGGGGCAATTAGGGTTAAGTGCCTTGCTCAAGGACACATCGACAAATTTTTCACCTAGTTGGCTCGGGGATTAGAACCAGCGACCTTTCGGTTACTGGAACAACGCTCTTAACCACTAAGCTACCTGCCGCCCCACATTCATATTTTATAGCAAGATACATTTTGATGGTCATTTTTACATTGCCATTTGCATTTAGGTCATTTCGCATCCATTTACATTTTAGTCATTTAGCAGACGCTCTTATCCAGAGCAACTTACAGTTAGTGAGTGCATACATTATTATAAAAAAATGTCATACTGGCCCCCCGTGGGAATCGAACCCACAACCCTGGCATTGCAAGCGCCATGCTCTATCAACTGAGCTACACAGGACCTATTTCCAGAGCGACTTACAGTCAGTGCTTTCAACTAAAGTAGATAAACAACCACAACAGTCATAGTCATGGAAAGTACGTGGCAGGTGGCTTAGTGGTTAGGAGCGTTGTGCCAGTAACCGAAAGGTCGCTGGTTCTAATCCCCGAGCCGACTAGGTGAAAAATCTGTCGATGTGCCCTTGAGCAAGGCACTTAACCCTAATTGCTCCTGTAAGTCGCTCTGGATAAGAGCGTCTGCTAAATGACTGAAATGTACAGTGCATTCGTAAGTATTCAGACCCCTTGACTTTTTCCACATTTTGTTACATTGCAGTCTTATTCGTAAATTGATTAAATTGTTTTTTTCCCCCTCATCAATTTACACGCAATACCCCATAATGACAAATCAAAAACAGTTTTTTTTTTAGATTTCTTTGCTAATTTATATATATATAAAAAAACTGAAATATCACATTAACATAAGTATTCAGACCCTTTACTCAGTACTTTGTTGAAGCACCTTTGGCAGCAATTGCAGCCTCGAGTCTTCTTGGGTATGATGCTACAAGCTTGGCACACCTGTATTTGGGGAGTTTCTCCCATTCTTCTCTGCAGATCCTCTCAAGCTCTGTCAGGTTGGATGGGGTGCATTGCTGCACAGCTATTTTCAGGTCTCTCCAGAGATGTTCGATCAGGTTCAAGTCCGGGCTCTGGCTGGGCTACTCAAGGACATTCAGAGACTTGTCCCGAAGCCACTCCTGCGTTGTCTTGACTGTGTGCTTAGGGTTGTTCTGAGAGTCTTTAAGTCCAAGCGGGAGTTTGCCAAAAGGCACCTAAAGACTCTCAGACCATGAGAAACAAGGTTCTCTGGTCTGATGAAACCAAGATTGAACTCTTTAGCCTGAATGCCAAGCGTCACGTCTGGAGGAAACCTGGCACCATCCCAACAGTGATGCATGGTGGTGGCAGCATCATGCTGTGGGGATGTTTTTCAGCAGCAGGGACTGGGAGACTAGTCAGGATTGAGGCAAAGATGAACAGAGCAAAGTACAGAGAGATCCTTGATGAAGAGCTCCAGAGCACTCAGGACCTCAGACTGGGGTGAAGGTTCACCTTCCAACTGGACAACGACCCTAAGTACACAGCCAAGACAACGCAGAAGTGGATTCGGGACAAGTCTCTGAATGTCCTTGAGTTGCCCTGCCAGAGCCCGGACTTGAACCCAATAATGTAATCCATTTTAAAATAAGGCTGTAACCTAAGAAAATGTGGAAAAAGTCAAGGGGTCTGAATACGTTCCCAAGGCACTGTACCACAATAAAGTCTGCAAAACCACTACAATGAATACTGTATTATTTGACCAAAGTATACTGTAGTATTTAACCATAGTATACTGTAGTATTTAACCATAGTATACTGTAGTATTTAACCATAGTATACTGTAGTATTTAACCATAGTATACTGTAGTATTTAACCATAGTATACTGTAGTATTTTTTCATGTGGGCTGATCGAATGCAACTTCTTGTCTGACATCAGGCTATATAGAGAGATATATCTCCTCCTGAATGTTGATGTATCAGACAGACTGCAAGCTGTCCTTCCTCCTGAATGTTGTTGTCTCAGACAGACTGCAAGCTGTCCTTCCTCCTGAATGTTGATGTTGTCTCAGACAGACTGCAAGCTGTCCTTCCTCCTGAATGTTGTTGTCTCAGACAGACTACAAGCTGTCCTTCCTCCTGAATGTTGATGTATCAGACAGACTGCAAGCTGTCCTTCCTCCTGAATGTTGATGTATCAGACAGACTGCAAGCTGTCCTTCCTCCTGAATGTTGATGTATCAGACAGACTGCAAGCTGTCCTTCCTCCTGAATGTTGATGTATCAGACAGACTGCAAGCTGTCCTTCCTCCTGAATGTTGATGTATCAGACAGACTGCAAGCTGTCCTTCCTCCTGAATGTTGATGTATCAGACAGACTACAAGCTGTCCTTCCTCCTGAATGTTGTTGTATCAGACAGACTGCAAGCTGTCCTTCCTCCTGAATGTTGATGTATCAGACAGACTACAAGCTGTCCTTCCTCCTGAATGTTGATGTATCAGACAGACTGCAAGCTGTCCTTCCTCCTGAATGTTGATGTTGTCTCAGACAGACTGCAAGCTGTCCTTCCTCCTGAATGTTGATGTCTCAGACAGACTGCAAGCTGTCCTTCCTCCTGAATGTTGATGTTGTATCAGACAGACTGCAAGCTGTCCTTCCTCCTGAATGTTGATGTATCAGACAGACTGCAAGCTGTCCTTCCTCCTGAATGTTGATGTCTCAGACAGACTGCAAGCTGTCCTTCCTCCTGAATGTTGATGTATCAGACAGACTGCAAGCTGTCCTTCCTCCTGAATGTTGATGTTGTATCAGACAGACTGCAAGCTGTCCTTCCTCCTGAATGTTGATGTTGTATCAGACAGACTACAAGCTGTCCTTCCTCCTGAATGTTGATGTATCAGACAGACTGCAAGCTGTCCTTCCTCCTGAATGTTGATGTTGTATCAGACAGACTGCAAGCTGTCCTTCCTCCTGAATGTTGATGTTGTATCAGACAGACTACAAGCTGTCCTTCCTCCTGAATGTTGATGTTGTATCAGACAGACTGCAAGCTGTCCTTCCTCCTGAATGTTGATGTATCAGACAGACTACAAGCTGTCCTTCCTCCTGAATGTTGATGAATCAGACAGACTGCAAGCTGTCCTTCCTCCTGAATGTTGATGTATCAGACAGACTGCAAGCTGTCCTTCCTCCTGAATGTTGATGTATCAGACAGACTGCAAGCTGTCCTTCCTCCTGAATGTTGATGTATCAGACAGACTGCAAGCTGTCCTTCCTCCTGAATGTTGATGTATCAGACAGACTGCAAGCTGTCCTTCCTCCTGAATGTTGATGTTGTCTCAGACAGACTACAAGCTGTCCTTCCTCCTGAATGTTGATGTATCAGACAGACTACAAGCTGTCCTTCCTCCTGAATGTTGATGTATCAGACAGACTACAAGCTGTCCTTCCTCCTGAATGTTGATGTATCAGACAGACTGCAAGCTGTCCTTCCTCCTGAATGTTGATGTATCAGACAGACTGCAAGCTGTCCTTCCTCCTGAATGTTGATGTATCAGACAGACTGCAAGCTGTCCTTCCTCCTGAATGTTGATGTATCAGACAGACTACAAGCTGTCCTTCCTCCTGAATGTTGATGTATCAGACAGACTGCAAGCTGTCCTTCCTCCTGAATGTTGATGTTGTCTCAGACAGACTGCAAGCTGTCCTTCCTCCTGAATGTTGATGTATCAGACAGACTACAAGCTGTCCTTCCTCCTGAATGTTGATGTATCAGACAGACTGCAAGCTGTCCTTCCTCCTGAATGTTGATGTATCAGACAGACTGCAAGCTGTCCTTCCTCCTGAATGTTGATGTATCAGACAGACTGCAAGCTGTCCTTCCTCCTGAATGTTGATGTATCAGACAGACTGCAAGCTGTCCTTCCTCCTGAATGTTGATGTATCAGACAGACTGCAAGCTGTCCTTCCTCCTGAATGTTGTTGTTGTATCAGACAGACTGCAAGCTGTCCTTCCTCCTGAATGTTGATGTATCAGACAGACTGCAAGCTGTCCTTCCTCCTGAATGTTGATGTATCAGACAGACTGCAAGCTGTCCTTCCTCCTG